TTTTTTTTTTTTGGTCAGATCCTGGAAAACTCTTCTCTACTTGTGTATTATATCTTTCCTTTTACCACTTTATTGTGTTAGATGTCCCTCTTCTGTATATATCTATAGTACTAATTTATAGGTTTGCAATACTACTTCTTTTGCAGTAGGAGAAGATGAGTTACAGTGTTGGAAAACTCCTTCATTTTGTTTGTGTTTGAATATCATTGTTTCTACTCTCATGCCTTACCTCATTTTCTTAAATTACTTATTCTGTGAAACTAATTCAAACTTAAATTTGATACATTTTTTAATATTCTTATACAATTAAAACAATACTACCCATACTGTGTAGTTGTTGGGTTTTATTTGTTTGTTTGTTTTATTTGTTTGTTTGTTTTATTTGTTTTTCTTTTCTTCTTAGCTTGATTTTTTTTTTTTTAATTTTTGCCCTTTCTGGGTTTCCATATGTAGAGTGATCTGAGCTTGAAGCTGCTGTGTCTGGTACAAGGGGCATGATCTCTAAGTCTCTGTAAGCTGGTGAGAGTTGGGAAAGCTGGCTCCTATTTATGGCCCTTCCCTTCTCGAGTCCTAGACCTTACTCTAAAGTGTTTGTTCTTTTAGTAGATGTCACAGGTCAGTACTAGTTCCAAGAGTTGACAGTGGGAGGTGCTTCTCAGCACACCATTCCTTGTTCTTTTATCTAAAGATTGAGCCAACTGGAAGCACCCTACTTTTTTCTACACTATTTTCCTTCAGTCAGTGGTGTTTTCCCCCACACCATTCTTCTTTTCCCTCCCAATGACTGCAGACTAAATGGCAGTGTTTTGGTTTGTGTAACAGTCTCCCAGGCATTTATCTCTACCCACACATGTTTAATGAAACACAAATCTCCTCTATGTCCCATCTTAAGAAGTTCATGCTGGTCTCTGATGTTCAAAAAGTGCTCTAGCTTTACCCTAAGACATAGAGCCCACTGGGATGTCCTGGATAACTTTCAGATTATCTTCCGTGAGTAAACTTTTGGTGTATAAACTAAAGGGCTCATTTTCTTCTAAATGAATGTATGTAGTCCATTCTCAACTAACCAAATATGGAAGAGACCCACAAACTTGTAATTTTGAAATTAGAATACATATAACTTCTATAACTTCCTAAAATTGATCTTAGAACTTTACACTAATGTGATTTCTAAAAGCTTTGTCATTCTTCACAGATTTATACACTTGAATGGGCAAATGAGTTTGAACATATCACAGTCTAACTAAAAGAAATTATAAAAAATTAGTTTTATTTTAAGACTGCCAGGAAACTTTTAATTGTGAATAGAAGCCCATAGTACATAATTCACCTTGCAGAAAAGTCTTTATGTACAAATGAGTTGTATGCAGACATCATTACAAAGGAATGTGTTTAACTTGTTGTTGAATTCATTTATTCTTCCAGATTAGTTCAAATTTAAACTTGATATTATAAAAAATAATTCTTATACAATTAAAACAATACTATCCATACAATGATTTTAAATTGTTATACCCTATTTCATAGTGTATGAAAATACTAAATGTGAAACCCTTAAGAATGACTGCATAATTTACAAGTTCTGTGTAATAAAAGTGAACCAATCACAGCATATAAAATATATTTAGATGTAAAAATATAAATGATATTTTGTATAAGAGTGGACATTTTTGTTTTTGCAATTGTTTTTATTTATTCTGACATGAATCAACATCTTTGAAATACTACTTTGAATATGCTACATTGTAAATTTTCTTCACTTTTTTTAATTAGGAATCTTTCCCTGAAATTGACTAAAGACATTGATCAGGAAACCAGATGTTCCCGTATCAGTAGAATGCCCAGCAGTCCCTCTACAGATTGGCCCTTACCAGGTGTGGAAGAAAATGGAGGTATCGATTCTCTGCCATTCAGACTGATGTTACAGGATTGCACAGCCGTCAAGGCATTATTATTAAAGATGAAAAGAGTTCTTCAAGAGGTATGATTACTCTAAGATTAATATTTTTTCAGCTCTTATAGTTGTTGGGGACTGTAAACCTGATTAGACTCTGCTTCTGTCAGTAATTAAACATATTACATTGGACAAAGGTCAAGTATCCTCTTAGAGTTTAATGTTTCTCAGGTCAAATGAAAGCTTTGAAATCCTACTATTTAAGGTACTCTTCAACTCTAAAATTTTAAGATTCCATGAAAGAAATGAAAAACAAGTAAATTGATACCAGCCTTGGGGTAATTAATAAATGGATGTCTGCTAATGTTATATTCAAACATTATGTTAAAGCTATTGAGAGACTTAATACATAAATTTATATCATATAAACTTTAATGTTATGAAAATTTACTTGTATGATAGCATAAAAGTGAGTTATTTAGTATTTTTTGTCACAATAAAATCAACTTAATACAATTTAAGTTGATTGCTTGATTTTGCCTATTGGATTTAGTTGCTCTCCACAGATGATGGTCAGTGAGATGATGAGCTGGTTGGGAAAATGTTTAATGATTTCTTTTACCATTATACTAGAAAATTGGTCATTCGTTAGGATTCACGTGTGTTATCATTTTATATTTATAATAAAACAGTATTTTGAGGATTTCTATAAAAATGGACAAATCAATATTATCTCATAGGTGTATTATTATTCATCAGATTTTTTAAAAAGATTTATTTATTTATTCATATAGAACTGGGGTACAGGACAGAGATGCAGAGGGTGAGAGGATTCACCAGAGACAGAGAGGGGGGCAGATATTCCTCAGATTTTTAAGTGTCTTCCAGTAAGTGTGAATTTAAGATGGCAGCCTGAGATATATGACACCTACACTATTGACTCTTTATTATACTCCAGTAACTTTCCGTTGATTTTTCTTTATTAATAAGACATATTTACAAGGTGACAGCAGAAAAATATTGTACTTTAGAATAAACAATGTTATGACAATCATTTACAATAATGATTACTGATATCTGCTTCTCTAACACTTTGTAATAACAATAATACTATTAGCCACCACAAATGCCAAAATGACATAGGGAAGAAAGTGGGAATTTAAGAGAAATTATGCTCATGTACTGTGTACAAAAATCAACCTCTTGAGGGTATGTATTATGTCACAGGAATTGTGAATGCTGTAAAGTAGGGCAGTTAATCGTTGTTGAGTCAGTTGACCAGTGCTCTTTTATAGATATAACTGTATAGTTTCTAAATTGACAGCAAGTATTTTCCTGAACTTGTGGAATCTCTCTGACCTTTGACTTAACATGTAATATGTACTTCTTTGTAAAAGGTAACCTTACTAGCAGGTATTATATTAAAAGATACTAATCTTGAAATCCATAACAATCAACTAGTCAGCATTTTATTTCTCACTTTGGTCAGGATTTTAACTACAAAAATATGCACATTAAAATGACAAGAATTGACATGAGGCTTGCTTAAGTTACTTGTTTATAATTTTAAAATATTCAGTGATATTCACTGTAGAATCTGTATTCAGAAATATACTGATTGCTTTTATACTTCCATCTGATTAGTTTCACAAGAGAGTACTTAAAAAATTGAAGACAATTAATTTTAAAGCAAGTACACATATGTTTATTAAGTCCACTCAGAGAACTTGGGATATTCTTCTGCATTGTCAACCAGAAAAATAGTATTAATTGATTAGCATGTACAACTTTTCTAGTAGTTTTTAAGATATTCTTAGTGGATGCCCTTAAAGGATATAGTTTATTGACATATTTTTTATGCCAAGAATTTTCAGACTGCAATTCAAATTTCACTACTTAAATTGAGGTTAATAGCTGCTGTATCAAACTTCTCATTTTCTTGAAAAAAAAAGACAACATGACTCACACAAAAAAATCTTACATCTCTTATTAATGAAAGTGTGAAAAAAATTGTCTTTCTTACCTTTGTTCCAGTCTCATAACCTCCCTTGTGGCATCCTTAGTTCTGCAATCAGATTTCAAGGTTTTTGTTGTTTTTGTTTTCATCTGTTCTCTATATAACACATATGAGGAAAATTCTTTTTCTTTTGAAGCAGTATTTCCCATATATAGCATTTAAAATATTCAGGGGTAGCTATAGTGAAGTCAAAAGGAAACTTATGGTCAGGATTACTCAAGAGTGCCTTAGAATCATGAGTAATTATTAGGTGGCCAGAAGGACATCTATATCAATCACTAATAAATTATCACTAAAATTACTAAAACTGGTTCAAGTTATAGAGCACTAAAAACAACTTCATTGGAAATTTTACATTATATTTTTAGTACTTTACATTTTATACAAACTTGTCTTTATAGTTGATATTGCATACACAGTTTTAATTAATATAGACATTAAGTTGCTTTAAAGTTATCTTTAAATATTACTACTTACTAACATTTTTGGAAGTCATCATATGCTTGAAACATTTACTGTTTTTATTATTGACTAGTTTACATCATATTAAAATTGTAAATCTTACTTATTCATTCTAAATATACATTTTTATTGTTAACTAACTGGCATTATATTATTATTTTTCTAATCACTGTCTTTAATATAAAGTTTTCATCATTTAACTTATTCTGACAATTAACAGTTTTTCCATCACCATAAAATATAAATAATAACTAAAACATGGAGATCATATTTTGTGTGCTAATATATGAACTTTTAGTAAAATAAAAATAAAGTTATAGTGAAAAACTCTTATCTAATTTTGAAAGTGAGTATATAGCAAGAGTGAATGTGGATATGTATTGTATCTGAGTAATCTGGGGTGGAGCCAGGTCTGTGGTGTAATAGCTGGTAAGCTGCTCTAAAGATGCTTCAATAAGTCTGGTATTGATATTTTCATGTATCTTGGAAAAGAATCAAATGGACTAGAATACTGTGTTAGAGTCTGTTTTAAATGTCCTTGAAACCACCTCTTACATAGGGGCTTCTCACCCCTAAAATCTTTTCAATCAGCCTATAATCTCTCCTTCCATCTGCTTCTACATCTGTGAAGGCCCATTTTAATGTTATAACATCATAATTGGTCTTTCTACTTCTTGTCTTTTCAGCTATCAAGCAAGTTCCCTTACTGCAGTCAGAACAGATTTTCTAAAATAAAAATGTAATCAAGTCACTCCTGTAAATCTAATTACCCATAGAAGGTCTTCTATAGATGCTATCTATAGCAGTCTACATTTCCTCTATCGTTAAAGCATTTACTCTTTCTGTAATTGTTCATCTTTTCTTACCCAGTGAAAACTTCAAATGCCTAAAGAGAAACATTTTTCAATGGTTTTAGCTCAAAATGAAATGCATTTTTTTAAAAGATTTAATTTATTTATGCATACAAGAGCTGAATTTTAAACCAGAGGTGTGGGAGGTGAGAGGGTTCACCAGATGTAGAATGGGGAGCAGAATAGGCAGATATACTGAAATTCACTGCTGAGGGGAGCAGCGGACCAGACAAGAGAGGTCTGTTGTGCTATGGATAGAACTCCTGCTGTAGTGACTGCTGATAGCTTCACAGTTCTGAGACTTTATCCCCTTGCACCACCGGGGAGGCTTGTTAAATGTATTTAATACTTTTAAAGTGCTTATTAATCAATAAATTAAAAGTAAATATATTTCATTTTGTTTTCTGCCATTAAAATTGTTAATGAAATAACTATTATAAGCTCAAACACCTGATGCTATGAAGATAAATGTCTGATCACATACTCCGGAAGTGTGGTCCTGTGCCACTAATTAATATACAATACTGCAATCCAACTTCACCTGAATAATCCAAATAAATAAATAAATAAATAGATAGATAGATAGATAGATAGATAGATAGATAGATAGATAAGATGTAGCATATATTCCCATTTTAAAGGAAATAACACTAGGAATAGGGGACACACTGCAAAATTTGCTAGGCTTAGTTTAATTAAGACTCTATGTATGTTAAAGACTATGTAGTAGTCATAATTTCCTGAAGTTTTCTGTACCTTTCCATGGAGTAGATGATGATGATGTTCATAAGGATTTTTGACTTCTCCCTATATGTATTCACTTCACTTGAATGTTAAGAATTGGTTTTCCCAAAATGGTATTGAACTACTGTAGGTAACAACTCAGTAAACCTAATAGTTTTTAAATATAAAATTTTTGGTATATCACCCCTATTCCTAATATAAAATTGTTGATATATCACCCCTATTCCTTCTTTTTTTTTTTTTTCTGCTAAGGTAGTCATTTTGCTAACGGTGCTTGCTTAAAACTAAGATTTCAATTTTGAAGTGGACACGTATGAAAAATATAAATGGACTTTCACACTCCTTATTTTGTATTCCTTTTGAAATCATTTTATATTAATACATATATATATATATATATATATATATATACATTCCCAACAATCCCAAACATAATATTTTTATTTCAAAAATAGACTGATTTAGGACCCTTGGAAATTCTTTTGTCACTTAAGTGACTCAAAAAGGGAAGCTAACTTTAAACTTTGTTAATTTATATCAAAAAATCCCAAGAAATTGTTTGGCATCTCCAGTGATAGTTCTATTTTAACATTTTCATTTTGTTAATAGCATTACTTTATATCACTCTCTATATATATTTAAATGTGTTTATGTATGGTATATTTGACCAAGACAACTAATGGAATTGTCTCATATGTAATATAACTTGCAGTAGGATAACTTGTAGTTAGAAAATTTATTCAAGAGTATTAGTACCCAGCTTTCCATCCTACCACCCATGTTATTCTTTTAAATTGATTTACATATAACAGTATATAGGTTTCATGTATAAAACATAATTGTTCATTATTTTTATGTATTTTAAAATTCATTGGTTCCAACAAGTCTAGTTGGCATTTCACACCATATATTGCTACACATTATTTTTATTTGTGATAAGAACTTTTGGGATCTCTGAGCAATTTTCAAAAATGCAATATCTTATTGTTAACTATAGTTGTCATGCTATACAC